CTGAGGGAGCGCCGCACTGTCAGAGGGTCAGTACTGAGGGAGCGCCGCACTGTCGGAAGGTCAGTGCGGAGGGAGCGCTGCACTGTCGGAGGGTCAGTTCTGAGGGTCTACTAATCACCAGAAGAGGGCATCTCCTGTCATTGACTAAATCATTGCAACCCCTTCCCCAACACTCTTATTCCTGAATAAAAACTGAAAGAACTGCGGATGCTTTAAATCAGAAACAATAATACAAGTTGCTGGAAAAGCTCAGCAGGTCTGGCAGCAGTTCTGAGGAAGGGTCACAGGACCCGAAACGTTAACTTTGATTTGTCTTCACAGATGCTGCCAGAACTGCCGGATTCTTATTCCTGAGATTGGGGACAATTCCTCTTCACATGGTCGTACTGTCTGCTGGGTTGTCAAGAGACACAAGAGTTCCCAGACAAGGTAGAACACATCCTTCAGCAATTCATCGAACCAGGGCTGACAGTATAGACAATTGTAGGTAGAAAGGTGACAGGCACTATTCAGACAGCACCTTTTATAACCTGCGACGACCGACAGTCAATCACTATATTCCTCTGACAAGTTGTTCCTGCAGAGTGGGTGGACAGAGTAGAGATAGGTTCACGTGTTGGGCCTCCTGGCACTGTCTGTAGCTGAAATCTCTCAGCCTCTGTTCCTGGAGACAGTGAAATTGAAATACATCATTTAAATCATCTGCTTCACGCTGGAAAAACGGTTTGTTCACGTACAATATTTCACAATGCCTGCTGCTGGACCTGTGATCATATCCTGCAATGATGTGAGCGAGCTTGCAGTTGCCAGCTGTGTGTTCCAGTCAAACACAACAAACTGTGTTCCAAGGTGTCATGTATCCCTGACCCTCTGCTGCCAGGGGTCACCTACCTGATAAAAGGAACATTTTGCCCTGGATATTTGTAACCATTTCAGATCAATGTGCTGCAACAGCCCTTCTGGGAACATTACACTCCAGTCTCATGTGACCCACCGTCACTTCATGTACATTTCAACATTAGAGGGAGCTTTATTCTGTATCTAACCCCGTGCTGTCCCTGCCAGGGGTGTGTTTGATGGGGACAGTGTAGAGAGAGCTTTATTCTGTGTCTAGCCCTGTGCTGTGACTGTCCTGGAAGTGATTGATGGGGACAATGTGGAGAAAGCTTTACTCCTTATCTAACTGGCCAGGCAGGCCAGGTGCTCTGCCGTACGGAAACTTGGGAAAGATTTTAAAATGTTGATGGTGGAATTGATCTTGGGTGGAACAGGATGTTTTAGTGGGTTTTGGCCCAGTCACGGATTTCAATGTGACAACATGCCCTGAATCAACAATGTCAAATGTACTTTAACTTTTATTTGTTCAACCTTGAATTTATTTAGTTGCAATTTCTAAATGGTTAAAACTTATCAATAGTACACACTACAATGGCATTTCTGGCTGATATTCAGACCCACAGGTTGTACTTGATTTCTTGCCTTACACTGCATGGTTCACACTAACCTGTCACGACATTCTTTTCTAAACCCCTGACCATCTTAAAGAGATACCAAGCCTATACTACTTTTCTCTTGACTTAAACATTTGGCAGACAGCGCACAAAAGGCATTAACTCACACTGGGGTACTGTACTGGTGGGCAAAGGCCTGTCACAGCATTTTCATTTATTCATGGGACTTAGACATCACTGGCCATTAATTACCCATCCGTAATTGCCCAGAGAACATTTAAGTGTCAACAACATTGCTGTGGGTCTGGAGTCTTGATAGGACAGACAAAGGAACAAAGCATCTTGCTTCCCTTAAGGCCAGTATAACACTGAGTGCAATACTTGTGGAGACAGGTCTATCAGTGAATAACACTGGGTTACAGCACTGATGGGGACAGGTCTGGTGGGGGCAGAGCTGTCATTGCGTAATTATATAATCCTGGGGTACAATACTGGTGGGGACAGCTCTGTCACTGTGTAACACTG